CATTGTTGGCGCTGTGCGGATTTCATATCAAGTTATATAAATATATAATTGATTCCACTTTGCCCTTGTTCTAAAGATTTCAAAAGAGTTCTGATGCACTCTCAATTGCATAAAATGATTCTTTCTCATCCCAAAGCCAACAAGACTGAAGAAAATCACCTGTGGCTGGAATAGCTGGAGGGGTTTCTGACTAGTTGTCTGAACAGTTGCTTTTGAACGACAGGGAGCGCGCAGGGGAAAAGACTTTGCATGATTCGGGGCTGCTGAGGATCATTGGAAACCTGATGACTTGTCAATGTTTCTCTATTTTTTTGCTCCTAATCATGCAATGTCATCTGGAGAACTAACTTTTGGTGTTTTTCCTATGGCCATGTCATGTGCTGGAATATTTACCTCCGAATGTCCATGTCATCAGCACTCAGTATACAGAGATTGAAACTAGGCATTATCAAGTTGTTTTAGGCCGATGTGTTTAAAAAAGCACTGCAGTTTTGCATCAACATGACAACCAAATATCGCAAATGTTTCATGTAGTTGTAGTTGTCAATAGCTTTTGATGTTCTGCACCAAACGCTGACCAACAAAAATTTCGCGCAGGTTTCGTGGGGGAAGGCTGAGGCCTTTTGTGCCGTGAGTACAGGGCAGGTATCAGTTTTAGTGTGAGATTGCTACGTAAAGCTGCCGCCCTTCAGGCTGGGCACTGATACATTCCAAAAGGATTTGGCCATGGCTTCAAGTTTCAGGTTTCCAAAGTAGAGTCCTGGCCAGTTGTGCGCAAGAGAAATGACAGACATGTGGCTCAACAGGCCAAGGGCATAGGAAGCTTGAAGCCTGTGACTTGTCCAGTGCAACGGTGAAAAATAGCGCGCGACGCTGTGTCAGGCACAGCGCAATGCACCACACAGCGCTGATTTTTGCATGCATTTTGTTGGTTCAGAAACTTCGCAGCTGCCCTGTCAAAAAGTTCAGAGTCTACTGTCCACGACCAAGCAACGCTGCAAATTACAGCGTGGCGTGGTGGAATTACAGCGTTGCTTGGTGGATTGCACTGCGCGTTGCACTTGATGCCCGCAACGCAAAGCAGGTGCAGCGGTGAGGCACACCGCATCCTTAGAGGGTGGAGGTGATTCTTTTTAGTGCTCACTAGTTCCAAGTAATTATGCATCTTATACGGAAGCCACCAGTGAATTGTCGCGAAAGTTTCGCGAATGTGCCGCTAAAGGCCCAGTTCCAAACTTGAGCCCCCCCGATCTCCCAAGCTGCATTACCTTGTGTTGGTAGCTAGCACTAGGGTGGCAGTGGGATTGAGTTGCGCATGACTCTATTCTAAGCCTCGTCGAGGATATTTCTGATCACTATGTGCTTCGTATTTGCATATACAGTTCAATCATGTTCAAGCGCGCCTGTTGACTAGACACGAGTTTTTAGAACCATGCTTCACCATGAGTCTACTAAAGATATTTTCCACAAAAAGTTGCCACTTGCCACTTCATCATGAAATGATGATCAGCCACCATATACCTTAGGGCATAGCAAGTGGGAACGGTGTGACGTTGTTTCCTTATGCTCTCTAAGATCTGTGGCTTGGGAACCCTCGAAGAACAAAACAAAAATCATGCCACGGCTACTAGTTGCAGCCTGTTGTTTGTAACTTGAGGTGGTCCACGTGGCTGTGAGTTTCCAAACCTCTCAGACCATCTTGAGTGGAGGAGTCATTGAGGCGAATGGGCCTTTGGACGCCGGGGTGCCGCCGAGGAGTTTGAACTGACTTTACAGTGTTTTACATTCCCGGGAATTGAAGCCTTGTATGACAACGTTCCTGTACAAACAAGTGGTTTTCCACATCCATGATGGGTCCAGGGAGTGTTGAACCCCCAAAAAAGCAGGTTGAATATCTACAAAAAAACACACTATGATGGAGCAATCTACCATGACGTTGAGTTGAACTTGAATCTTCAAAGTGACCTATGATAGGTCACCTATCTGATTGGTTCCACTTAATTACTCCATGTGTTTTAGATTTTTTACTTGTGTTCCACCAAAGTTATTCAGTTGTTTGTTGGAATTGTTCAGCATGGTCCGGGTTTGTCAACATGGAGTTCCAGTATGACTGGCCGGTTTCGTTCTTTGCCGATCTTCCTGCTTAAAGTGAAAGTGGACCATGGACCACGTATTCCGGCGATCAAACATTCTTCACCGGGACCATTCCATGGGGGGGTCCCTCTCAAGCATATGCGGTCCGATGGACGTGGGGGTTGTCCAGGTAGATTCAGCAATCCAGTCGTCCGATGGTCCGATTTTTTTGTCCCTTTTCCTTCCGTTTCCTGTGGCAGATGAGCCGTGTAGACGACGTTCACGTTCACCTGCGCCATTTTTTTGGAGTGACGCGATGAGTTTCTGCTTTTCGTTGGGCAGGTGGTGGCTCCGGCAGTGTATGGTTTCTCCTGCGATGCTGCGGATGGTGGGGGGGACTGGGAACGGGGTCCTCGGACCACGGTGGGGACGGCAGGAACTGGTCGTTGGGAGGTGTTTATTGAGATTGGCCAGTGGAGGTTGTGTCGAGTTGTCCCCTCCTCCATGGAAATTCGTGACTTTCCAACAAAGGTGTGAGTTCGCATGTTCTCCATGGAGTTCGCGTTGTTTCGAGCTAAGAATCCATTGTTGCAGAAATTGTTTTGGCACTAAGAATCCAGTCCTGCGGTGTTGAGAGGACTGTGGCAGGACCTCTCCAAAACCATTGATTTTTGATTGGACTTTTTGAGCAAATGAGCAAGCACTTATCAACGATTCCTGTTGAGCAGGACGGAGCATGTGATTGGTGATCTTTGGCGCGTCGATTGGTTAAGACAGAAACCAAGAAATACCAACACCGCAGTTGGTTTTGTGGACGCTCCCTCATCAGCCCTTTTGTGGGGAAACCTAGATCTCCCAGTTCCTTTAAAAGCGACCAGGTCGTGAATTCTCCAAGGATCCAGGTCCAGGTCAGTTCGAAACCACACAAGGGTTTCAGCAAGATATGGGTGAAGACTAGATGCCGCAACTCCCAAGTTTGGATGTAGTAGTCACGCGGAATCAGGCCCATTTATTTTGTTCAGAGCCTACGCAGCCTATGTATATAAGTTATAAGTTATAAGGGTAAAGAAACAGGTGCCGCATGCACGAACCTGGCCCGCAGATGAGCCGAAAGACGCCCCTTCGAAGATGTCTAGAAAGAAGATTAAAGAAGATGTCTAGAAGCCTCTCTCGCCTTGTTGCACCGCCAGGCCTGAAGCTCTTTTTCGCTGGTTTGCAATCCTGTGAGACGTTGGACGAGGGCTTCCGATTGATGCTGAACCAGCCCCCCGGCGTCGGAGGGCCCGAACCACGCATGGTCGCTCCACCCATCGAGCTGTCGAGTGTTGAGGAAAGTGAAGCAATCCCTGTGCCCTATCCTATGCCCGTCCTGGTCAGTGTCATGGCTGACTGGCAAGAAGGCTATTTCTTCAAGTTGGCCTCCAAGAGTTTAGCTTCTGTTTATTGGAACATGTCGTTCCCCAGACAGATATCAATCGATGTTGAAACGATGTTACACACAGGGGATGTATGTTTTCCTTTTGTTCGGACGTGCATGGCATACTTACCTTGTCACGACAATGCATACTTATAGGGTCTGTCCTATTACCTGTAACAGTCAGTAAACAATTATCACGATTTTTGGACAAGGCCTTTACTAACCATCATCATCCACTGTTAACAGGTAATAGGATAGACCCAACATACCTATATATCTAGAACCCATTTGACCTTTGTTTTGATAGGAAAAGACAATGTGTTGGCATGTTTTGGCTCCAAAACAGGAGTGACATGGATTCCAGTGTGTGTGTATAATATATATATATATTATATGTATTGGGTTTGCTAGAGCAAATTATAATGGATTCAGATGGTTCTCAGACAGTCCCATGGTACATGGTTCAATGCCATTTGCACAAGGTGGAGAGGATTAGGACAAAGCAAATTTAACATGAGCTGCAAATTTGAACTTCACCGGCTCGTGAGATATGGGGTGGGGTATCATGGGCATGCTTCCATTGGCTATTTCTAGTGACCCCGCTCAGCTCAGCACAGCTCAACAAGTCTTGTTTGAAAAAAGGGAATTCCCGACGCAACGCCGTGAGAGAGAGAGAGAGAGACATCAACCTACCCGTAAAAAGAGAACATACATGGAAATACCATCGCTTGAGAGGTCGTTCACGTTGAAGATCGTTGCCAAGAATCGGAGATTTTTCGAACATGTTTCGGTTCGGGATGGTTTCAGATGGGGAAGTTTGGGAAGTTGTAGTTAACTTGCGGTGTTGCATCAGATCCACCTGTTGCATAGATGCTGAAAGCACATCCACACAACGTCCGCCAAGGAGTGTCTCGCCCGGCAGCTACGCCTTCCTCATTGGCATGCGAACGCCCAGCTTCACGCCCTACACGACGCCCGACACGATAAGAGAAAGAGTTTGAAAGGGCTCTTCTGGGCACAAGATCAGAAGGTTCGTCAGTTCCATTCGAGTGACCCACCCTCTGGAAGTGGATAACGGCCTCCTGGTTGTCCACGTCCATGTTTGTTTCAGGGAGTGTAGAGGAATGAACTAGGTGCTGGATTGATACGAGTTAGAGGACGTGAGGTTTTTAACTGCACAGTTTTAACTTACGCGGATTCAACACACACACACTCGAAGGATTCATGAGATCCTTTCACGCAGACTTCTAGTGGTTTTTAGTCTCATGTTGAAATCGATGATTGTGTGGTGAAATTAATCGTTGTGTATGCAACAATTCATCAAGACAGTGCTTTCGACGCACGTCTTGAGGGGGGCGTGGCTTTGTGTGCCATACTATTCTCACAGCCATTGCTTGTGCAGGTATGAGCTACCCGAGTCCTTAATGCTTAAAGAATCTTAAAGGATATTTTTGAGGTGGTGCACTTAGATAATAGTTCTCCGGAAGACTTGGGAAGAGCGTAACACCAGGGCGTGTTCTGATGCGGAACTCGCTCAGGAACTTGTTTGATTTGCTGCTCAAAGACTTGGAGGGCAAGGCGTGGGCTTGCTTCACTGGCCTTAGCTCCGCAGGATCATGCGTGCATGTTTGCATATTTTTGCAATGCGAGAGATCGCAACATGAACATATTAGCACCAGGTTGTACAGGTACACAACATGATGTCATGGTGTGTTGTGCATGTGTACATCCCAGATTGCTACAAATTTATCTCGGGATGATTACCATTTGCCCACATAGATTGGTAATATATCGTAACTGCATCTCCATGCTACGTACTCATTCAACCATGTTGCCTCAACATCCATTTGATCGACTCATCAAATTGACCCTTTTTCCTTGCCCCATCACTTGCCCGTTGCCCACCCATCGCACCCTCAGGTGGTGGACGCACGTTTGGCGCTGCCGGGGCCGCGGCTCATCCCGGGGCTCACCTTGGATCTCCCGGTGCTCACGAGCCTTGGCGAGCGAGTCGGGAGACCGTGGAGAGCGCGGCGTTTGATGAAAACATATATGCATTTTGGATGAAAACCAAGAACACTCATTATGCAGAGGTTTTACCATCCAATGGTTTTTTGGCATCTTCTAAGAGTCTACACCAAGCATAAACCAGCCCTCAGAAGCAACTAGATCCACCGGACATCGTTGGAAAGACTTAGTCCACTGAGCTTAAAGCCAAGCCTGAAATACATGTGTTTCTTGACCAATGCTGAATTGGCCAGTTGATGGCAAACATCCCTCGCATCCTCACAAGATTAGCTCCTTGCCAGTCATTCTTTGGACCTTGAATCTTCGGTCAAAAGACTTTAAGTAAGACTTTAGTTATTCACACGCCCACACAGTCGTGTCAAACACATGGCCTCAGACTGCAGGGAAACAAGCAACAAGTGAGGACCTCAAGAACGACGTGTTTCTTCCCTCTCGACCCGACCCGGATCCTGCGCCGGGAGCGGGACCCGAGGTTCGCGCGCTCGCAGCCGGGCAGCGACGCGGAGATCCGCGTGACGTTGAAGGTGGTTCAAACCTTGGATCCCTTGCAGGTGCCTAGAGCGCTCTGGAAAAGGCACATCCACCAATCAATTTGGATGTGCATGTCTTGTTCGGGAGGCCCCTCATCCAATCAGTTTGGGTCTAGGTCCCTGCTTCCAGGGAGTCTTCCAGGGAGGTCTCCCTCTTGGATTCCTTGCTGTTTTGGAGACCTGAACTGAGCCATTCTGTGGAAAAGTGAGTGGTACATCCTGAAACCCAGGTCCAACAGGGATCCGTTGAAGCGAGCGCCACTGAGCTCGAGCTCCGGAACCGATCGACTCAAAGGTCCAGTCAGCTGGAGGGTGCGATGAAATGGACCTCTCTGAAGGTACAAGAGCACGTTCGTACTAAGCAACCACTCCACGTTCGTAAAAGGGGAGGTACATCTGAAGGAGGTGTCCAAACAGGCCATGGGCCATGAGTCTCTTTGATGGTTTCCTGGAATATGGCGTCATGGACCATATATGCATGCATATATATAATATATAGATGTTTGGGGGTTTTCCGATGAAGGTGAATCTTTGTGAGGTCCAAGGGGGGAGCATGCTAGAAGAAGGCATGGGAGCTGGCACAAAAGATGTTCACACCCGAAAAAGCTGAATGTCATGAAAGGCGTTCTCTGTTGGGAGGGGCCAGCATATAACCTGATTGCGCCTGGTTGTGGGGCAAGTGCTGGCAGGGATTGTGAGGGAGAAAGAGTGGATGGCGGAGAATATGGATATGATATGATATGATATTGGACACAATGAAGCCAGTGAGTACACCAGTAAAGGATAATGTATAAAGGTTTTTAGATGTTATTCATTTTTGATTGGCTGTTTGATCTGCTCCCTCCTTTATCAGCATCTTCTCCCTAGAAGCTTCTTGTTAGTAGTGATGGCCTCCAACCTAATAGCATCCACAAATGAACCTTCCCATGCCTTCTCCCGTTGCACCGGCGCCCGCCAGGTGCTGGGGCCCTTCCGGTCGGTGCAGATCGCGGTGCCCGAGCGCTTTACCCTCATCGTGCGAGAGCCGGTGCCTGGCCGTCAAGCGGCGCGAAAACCGGTGATGCGGTGTGTGTGCTGTGCGGCATATTCTCAACTTGCCGAATGATGGTCTGCGGCTGAATTAGGAAGAGATGAAGCCAGCTGGATTGAGATGCTACCTGCAAAACCTTCGCGTCGTCACATCATGGCCAGGCGTTCGCTTCCAAAATGCATCCGATTTCGCGGCAGTGTTCACTCATGGGCAGGTGACCAACTACGATGGTTTGCCAACGCCGGAAGTGAGCATCTTGTTTGGCGAGATGTTTGTGGTTTGAGACCTTCGAACTCCGAAAGGATTTCGAAGCACCCAAGAAGTGATCGGTCCGTCGTTCGGGTTCCGTCGTGGGAAGCGGTAAGCGCGGCTCGAACCTTGGAATTCGTGGGCTCAAACGTCGGCTCAAAGATGCTCAAAGAATCAATCGGTCTGGCAGACCACCCTGTGCTTTGTCATGCAGTTTGATATGGTTTGATCATTTATTTGGACCCTGAATAGGCCAAGCAACTCCGGCAACTATAAGTCATCAGAGTTCTCTGTACTGCTGGCAAACATGTATAGAATCGAGCATCGAACCGATCAAATCTTGATGTACCAGCCAATCCCATGTCCTAGTTGCAATTCAAATGAATGTTGACCATTCCGCAGAGTGCACCAAGCCCATTCCGCGAAGCCTTTCGCACTCTCCGGGTTGCGTTTTGGAGTGGATGTGTTTGTTTGTTTTCTGCATCTCAAGTCGAAATTGAAAAACATCGACTTGAATGAAGGGCTTTCGAGCGTGTGCTTTTTTTTGCTGGGCTTGCTTGACTTACATCTTTTAGTCGTTTCGGTTTGCCATCGGCACTGTTTGTTTGAGGAAGCGAAAGATCCCCCCGCGAGCTCTCGAGGTTGGTATCACTTGTACTTTCTGGAGAAACTGGTGCGCGTCCCTCGGCAAAGTGAGGTCGTTCGACCATTTCTAGGAAGTGTCGGACATCCTAGAGCGCAGATTCTGTGTGTGTGAATTCTCAATGATGGTTAAGTGCAGTTTGCAGTTGGAAACATTCTACAAGATTCTGAGAAGGAGCAACCACTAAGTCACTAGCTGTTTCATTAACCACCATTAGTGAAACGATGTTAAACGGCTTGTTGATGACACATCGACTCCTCTTTGACACCACAACTGAAAGGTTCTGCTGTTTGTTGAGGTCGACTTGGTGGCAGATGGTGCAGAAGAGATCCCCCAGATCCCGGCCAAAGACTACCGTCTCGGTTTCAAGGCAGCGAGTGGGAGAGCAACGGAGCAGTTCCCGGGGCAAGTGCCTGATGTGCCGGTGAAGTTGGCTTGCAGACTGTTTTTGGGCTTCCTAAGATCCAGCAATCAAGTGCCCCATGAGTCCAAGAGCTCATCAAATTGTTGAGAGCGAAATCTGCTGTCCAATGCTGGTCCACCTGCGGGACCTCGGGACCCAAAAGGTTGCCGGACCAGCCGCACGGATCGATCTGCATCGATCAAGAGCCTCCTAGTGCGTATAGTGGCCCCCCAAATAGATAGAAACGGTGTCCATCGGTTTCCAATACTACATGTTGAATCATTTTTAGTGGGGATCTACTTTTCTATCTATTGTGGGCAGCAAACCATCTGAGCATTTGAACGGACACGCTTGGATGATCGCAGATGCGCCGTGCCTTCGGGGTTGGACAAAACCAGAGGCCCACCTGTTTGGCATCCTAAGGCCCCAAACCACCAAAAGCAGATGTTTCTTCAAACAGCCACTTGGATCCACTTGGTAGATCAAGAATTGCTGTTTGAATTGGATTGCTAGATTGTTGAATCTTGACTTCTGCCATCCATTTTTCTTGGTAGATCAAGACTCTTGACTTCGAGTCCTTGTTTTCAACAATCGATTTCTTTCTGTTTCCAGGTAAGTCTCGGGGTTTCCAGGTTTTCGTCTCCCCAGTCCGGTTGAGTTGTGTGGTGCAACTCCTGACATCGGATGAGTCGGTCCCCGAGCTCCCAACCGCACCTGCAGGTGCGGTTGCCGGAATTCTGGATGCCCAGTGTTAATGCATCCTGGATGCATTCTTGGTGCGGACCTCGAAAGTGGGGAATAAGAAGGAGCTTTTTGCATGTTGTTTAGGAATGGTAGGGGGAAAACCACAGCTCAAGACAAGGGAAGACGGAAGAACGATTGATGTTGAACAACGTTTGTTTCATGTCGGAGGCATCCCCAGATGGCTGTTGCCACTTGTCCTTGAAGACTTCACCAGCCTGAGGACATCGAGCTTGCCAAGAGCAAGATACCATAGATTTCCTTGTAGGGGTTGGTTGATTAATAGAGGGATAATGAGGGATATATATCCACCGTCGTATACAACCAACCTTTTTTGGTATTATATAGTACCTGGCACTGACCCCTTTGGTATTTCCAAAAGGACATGGCTGTAGCTTCACGCCCTACCGGTGACCGACTGTTTGACCGGTGGACCAGTCCTTCACGACTCGGCTGTGCCCGGCAATCCGAGGTTTGGACGGTCTCTCTGTGTGCCTCGGTGTTTGGCAATCCTCACTGGGCTTTTCGATGCTTTTAGGGATTGAGGCAACTGTAAACCAAGGATTGAATTACTGTATGATGGATGGTCCGCAATGCGCCAGTTGAATTGGATTGAATTAGGTCCATTTGAATTAGTTTGATGAACTCCACTGTCTGGTGGGAGAACAGTCAAATGGTGACTTTCTCATCAATGATGAATCAGATTGAATTGGACCACAGTTGTTTGCTCAAAGCCCGCCTTTGGTTTCCAATTCAGTGGATTGTGAGGGTTGCCTTCGGATTTCGAGGTTGCACCTAAGATCACAGTGAGGGCTGCATTGGCTGAGCTTACCCTGCTGGTGACTGTACTGTTCACAATCAGGGTATAGCTCAAGAATAGGGCCAGAAGAAAGAAACACTCGGTGGAAGTCGCGGTGGATCAAAAGAAATCTTGACCAAGATACCTCAAGATCAAAACAGGAAGCCCTCCTACTGAAAAAGAGAACTGTCGGACTATATCATGCTTTGGCCAGTTTTGGTCTTGGCTCTGACATTGGGGTTCAACCCAGGTCGAGATCTTTCATGCTCCGACTTGATCACCTCCTTGCAGCTTGCCAAACGGAGGGTCCGGACGGACGTGACGGGTCGGGTCCCAAAATTGGGATCATCCGGACCGTGTGGAAGGTTCTGATCCCGAAAACAGTCCAAGCATGAGGATGGTGAAGATCCTGAAACATCCTGAAACCATATCCGAAATCAAATCTCATTCCCATTCGACGTCGACCGGGCGACTTCATCGGATCGACGTCGACGGGAGCCGATCCGACTGACGCCGTCCGGGCGGGTGTGTCGCTCAGCTCTAGGGAGACCTCCCAATGACCCCTTGGAAGGTTCGGGAAATAGACCAGTCAACTTACCTAGTCATAAACACCCAGGTCGCAGCAGTTGCTTTTGCATCGTCCTTTTTGCGGGGGACACCTGATTCATCCTGATTGTGTTGGTGGTCAAGGATTAAGAGCATGGATTGCTTTGCACGAAGATGGTCCAGGCATCTTAGACCCGCTATGTGGTCTGTGGAAGTGGTACAAACTTTGATTTGCTTCATGGAGTTTCAATTCGTCCACCCCCTCCCAGTCGTTTTTTTTTTTTAACGAAAGTTCGATCGCCTCGACTCTCTCCATGACCAGAGCGGACGCACCTCTTCCGAGCCTCTTCAAGGCCAATGGCCGGATTTGAATTTGGAGACCCTGGCTTCGAACAAGAGGAGGCCCACGACTGGTGGCGGGTGGGTGGGTCCGAGGTCGCACTAGAGGCAGACTAATAGGGTCACCGGCTTGAAGCAATTGGTGAAAGTTTATTCAACAGCGAGCAAAAAGGGACACTTGTGGAATGAACACTCAAGGAATATGGATTTGTGAACAGCCCCAAAAAAGCAATGTTTGGTGGGGAGATGTGAAGAAATTAACCTATGATTTTTGACAATACCTTTGTCGAATTGGTCCCAATTCCCTGATGGGGAGTATAAAGACGCTGTTCGGCCAAGCTGTACGGTTTGGCAAATACATTGAAACATGTATTTTGGGGGGTCCTTACATGCCAGACAGTCCAGTGGACAGCTGCCAGGTCCAAAGATGCCCACAATGTGTTGCACTCGTGTTTGGAGCCTCGAGAGCTTTCTGCAAGGAGGTGGTGGATCTTCAGCCTGGCCACGCGCAAGGTGGGGATGAATGATTGTTCATTGTTCAGATCTGAATGGATGTATGTTGAATCCATGACATGGGTGTTTGAATCTTTTTGACTAATTTGATTGCTTATATATTTCAATATATTATAATATATCCACATCCTAGGGAAAAGGAAGAATCAACACATTTCTTAGAGACATTATTGATTATATCGACCAATGAATATAAATGATTCCATCCAAATATTGATCAGGTCTGTTGAATAGATTGAATTTCTTGATTTTAATAATATTCATTTAAAATGAATTTAATATATTGTTATTGTTAATAAAGATATAATATACGGATTATATATATTTAAATTAATTTATATAAAATATTAGAATGTATAAATATATTTATATGGAAATTGATCGAAAATTCTATGTAAGGAATTTTATATAAAGTAACCTTTTAGATGTTATTAAATTTTAGATGTTATTAGAACCATTTACGACGAGGTTTGCGAAAATATTTATATTTTTTTTTGTTTGCGAAAGATTTATCGAAGGTTATATTGTATTATTTTCTGTTTTATTAAATTAATAAAGAATAGAATAGAAATGTAAAGTAATGTTCCGGTAGAGTTACTGGGCGGAAGTATATTTATATTTAGGAAAGGTTAGAATTAAAATCCGAATATATTTCGGTAGTATTTTTGTTCGAATGTGGTTTTTACGTCCGATTTTGGAAATATTTTTGCTTATTATATACTAAATTCTGCGAATGATGAATATATAATATATAATTAAAATAAACGAAATTTATCCGATTATATAAATTCTCGTTAGATTACAAAAATTTATGTTTCGTCCGAATTGAAATATCGAATATTGCTTTAAAATTGTAAATTTGCAATTTGGGTGTTTTGTAAGTAATTTGCAATATTTGCCCGTGGGTTGTTTTTTAAAGACAAATCTTGGTTTAGGTAGATTTTCTTGAATTGGCAGAAATTTGAGCTTGAATGAGGATTTATAGATATGTTATAGATTAACGAATTGAAGTCTCAACATTTAAGTGCCGAGCCCTGGCAGTACGTAAAGGATTCTCCGATTCCTGTTCCCATTGTCACAGGCTAGCAATCTGGGTAGGTACAGCCCTGACAGTGAGGCAACGACCTGCAGCTGCTCTGACGGGCTGCGCAGATGTTTGCAAATATTACGGCTTCAAGGGGAAAGCACTAATGAAATTTCGCGAATGTATCGCTAAAGTCTAGGTTCCTAGCTTGAGGCCTCCTAGCGTTCCCTAAGTTATATCACCTTGTGTTGGTAGCTGGCACGAGGATTGGGTTGAGTTGTGCGTGACTCTATTTGGCACAATTGTCGAACAGATGTTGTAAGTGACCCTGAGTAGTTGTGGAAACGTTTAACCATCTACTAGGGTCATGTTGCAAGATGTCTCTCCCTATTTTGTGATACTATGATATGTTCCGGCTCATGTTGGCTAGACATGGTTGTAGGACCATGCTTCGCGATGAGGCCGCGAAAGATCCGCGAAAGATATCTTTTTTTTCGCGATGAATGGCCATTCCAGGATGAAAGAATATTGATTAACCACCATATATTTTTTTAATTTCTCGATATTATATAAATTCTGGTTTGTGCTTTATGATAAGTTGAGCTAATATGGTGTCGATTTATCGAGGTTAAGCGATTTTCGGCTGATTTGTCGGATTTATTGGTTATATTTTTTCCTTGCGGATATTATTCGTTGAAGGATTTTTTGATTATATGAAATTGGGATTTCGATGTTTTTTGAAGTATTTATAATATCATGTTATGTAGCTTAATACGAGCTTGAAGCGATTTAGATTGCAAGCGAAGGAATTAATGAAATATTTGTATATATGTATGAGTTTATATATATATATTTCGAAATTAATTAGGATATAACATTTATTTATTTACTAAATATTTTATTATATATAGATATTAAGAATTGAATTTGTAATATATTTAATATATATAGATACTATATTTATTTAAATTATATTTTATATATATTAAATAGATTTAATTCAAATTAATGAAATATATATATAAATTTAATATATTGATTATTTATATATGATATTTATAATATATATTGATAATATAAAAAATATTAATATAAATATCTTTTGAAATAAATTGATTGGTTAAATATTTTTGTGAATTTTAGAAATATGCTAAGAGAATTAATTGTGAAATATATTTTTATAGGTAATGTTTTGAATTGATTTTAATAGATATTATGTATTTTTGGAATTGATATTTAATATATATTTATTTAATCGTTTATTTGATATTGAATATTTTCATTTTGTTGTAGTTTTTAAATGTATGAAGATATGTTTAGTAAATATTAATAAATTTTGATATGAATTTATATTGAATTTAATTATGATAAATAATATATATATTGTTTTTTATTGAATTTATTCGATTTGATTAATATATTTATGTATTCTTTTTAGAATATATTTATAAATTCATAAAATAAATATCGAATGTTTTTAGATTTAAGGTAATTATATATTTTGGATATGGGATTATTAATTCGTATTATATTAAAATCTTTATTTTATTAATAATATATTATATATTTAGATTTTAAATTGGAGGTTATATTTGATCGAATATATGAAGGATGATGGGGACCTAGAGTCTGGGATCCTAGGCATATGCGATTAATGCACATCTTGGCATCAAATTCTTTTCGAACATTTAGCCTTTTAACGAATCTATAAATTCCGTTGCATCATATTATGCAGATGATTTATATATCTAAATATCCCATATAGCGTCATAAAAATTAAGAGATCATTAGGTTCGTCTAAATCTGAATCTGCAATATATTATTGATGTAGCAGATACATCCATTGTTGATCTAATTTGTGTATATTAAACCTTTCATAATTTATGAAATCGTAGGGAGAAAATATCAAGGGTGATCGCTAGAAATGAATCTAATGGATCCTTATTAATATCAATTGAGAGATGCCGAAGCTAATTACCTTACGCAATAAAGAATACAATTCCAATGCCTCCGGCCTCCAAGATTTAAATCGAATCGCCACGGGAATATTATCGCTACAACCGGAAAAAATAATCCTAAAACAAAATTAAAGAATCTACTTAAGCCCTCCTTAATACTACAACAGGCAATTCCTTCCCTTAAAAAAGATATATTCCCCAAATCCTGGAATTTTTCCATAATTTAAAAGATACGAATATTTAAATTCATTTATAAATTTAAATTCCACGCACTTTACCAAAATATAACCGATATTTATCCAAAAAAAACATATTTTCATACGAATTAAAACGAACGATTAAAGATATTCGCTAGCAAATCAATACACATATAAATATATATAGAAAAATTCAATTAATATATTTGTTAGTCCAAAAAAGACATCCTTCACCTCTCGAATCAAAATTATATATGGTTTATATAAATTCCATCTCCTCGTATGCCTCCTCCTCCACGATCAAGCATTCCAAAATTCCCGATCAAACATTCCAAAACGAACATCTCAGATCTCAACCCGCAAGCTTTAAATCCAAATATTCCCTACCTATCTTCAACCAGAATACCCAACCACATCCACAATCACAACCACACAACCACAAACCCACAACCACAAACACAACAACAAACACACAACCACAAACAAACGCAACCACAAGCGCAACTACAAACACAAAACCACACAAATACAACCACAAACACACAACCACAAAGACACAATCACAAACACAGAATCACAAACACTATCACAAACGCAACCACAAACACACAACCACAAACACAACCGCAAACACACAAACACAAAGACATGATCACAAACACAGAATCACAAACACAATCACAAACACAAACACAACACACAAACAGAACCACAAACACAACCACAACGACAAAGACGCAACCACAAAGACAACCACAAACGCAACCACAACGCAACCACAAACGCAACCACAACCACAAACACACAACCACAAACACACAACCACAAACACACAACCACACAAATACAACCACAAACACACAATCACAAACACATAACCACAAAGACATAATTACAAAGACACAATCACAAACACAATCACAAACGCAACCACAAACACACAACCACAAACACAAACACAACCACTACCACTACCACTACTAACTACTACTACTACTACTGCTACTACTGCTACTGCTACTGCTATTGCTACTGCTACTACTACTGCTACTGCTACTGCTACTGCTACTACTACTATTTCATATTTACGAAAAATGCATTGTAATATGGCCATATAATTAATATTTTAATAATTATATATTATGTTCTATGAATCCCAGAATTTCAATAATAATTAATCGACTTACCATTTACATTACGAAAATATATCATGAAATCATTAATGATATATACAACATTTTCATAATTGTATTATTATAAATTTCAATTTACCAAATCTTTTATATCATCAAAAATTATAGAAATATTACGATACAAGAACAATACCAAAAATAACATTAAAATAAGAAAATATATTCCTAATCTTATATCATATATATTAAATCCCAAAATAATGTCTATTTTATAAATGTCATATTTAATTTACAATATTCTATCATAATATTTAGATAATTTCAATATTTACAATTAATTTTTCATCAAACCAATTCTATTACTAAAATAAAAATAAATTCATTACCATTTCCTCCTCAAAATAATCATACAAATTCCATTTATTTATCCTCATCAAAAATGTATATAAATATTAGATTCTTTAATCATTTCATGCATTCCCTAATATATACATAAATATATTTTTTATTTCATTATTCGGCAATTTCGGCTGCCCGTCAGGAGCTGCGCACGTAGATCAATAATCTATGACGAATAGTTTACGATCATCTAGTGGCTCAAATTCATTGCATCGAAAATTCAAAATGAGAATTATCCATCACAAAAAATAAATCAAAACAAATCAAACAAAGCGAATTCCCCACTAATGGTACGGCAAATCGGCCATCTCCAATGTTAAATTTCAAAAATCCATAAACACGAGCCACAACAAATAACAATCGTCAAAAATAATATACTCAATCACTAAGAACATTCATAATTCAAATATATCTATTCCCAAGAAATACATATACCAAGCATCTAATGCCCGTTATCCGGGCATTCCCCTCGACCACATAATAATTATACCCCAACCTATGGCATAATCAAAAACAAACAAAATTATTAATATTAAATATATCATTAATAATATAATATTAAATATTCAATTTAAATTATTTAATATAATTCCAAAAAATCAATATCATAATTATATATATTAAATAATATTCATTCATTCATTTCCGGCCTGCATAAATCAAACCCGTATTAGATTATACAACGAAAATTAAGGAAATTTCATGAATTTCAATAATCATAATAAATCGAAAATTAATTCATTAATAATAATCGATATTAATTACATAGCCAAATTAACACAAAATTATAATTATTTTATAAACCTTCCATCCCAATATAATGCTTATTTAGCTAAAAAATAACAATAAAATTATAAAACACATACATAAATATATTTATACTATAAATTAATCAAAATTTACAAATTATATCATATTTTATCTAAAAATAAAAAATCCATAATCCTTAATATTTCTTAATTAATCTATTCTATCAATTCCATATATTATATAACATTATAATATAATATATCATTATTCTAATATATTATTCCATTACCATTTTTCTTTCCTATTATTAAATATATATATATTCATTCCTAAAATAACTATTCTATTTTATAATCCTAATATTTTCAATACGGATAAATTTATTTAGCAAAAGCAAAATTATCGAATATAAATTTAAGAATTAATAATAAATATAAATTTTATTCTAAATATTAAATGCATATATCTGCAATAAACATATAATCATGGTCTGTTCCCTGCATCCCAGACCCGAAAATTATAGTCTAAATGCGAACACTGCTTCCATTAGTATATTTGGATTATTTTTGTTAACTCATTGGGCAGCTCAGCTCACCTGTGCAGCAGCGAAACAGCACAGCCACGTGCTGCATATGGGCTTCTCAACATGAAAGGACACCTCATTTATTCTTGCCCACTGGGCAAACTCTAACCACCCATGTAACAAATAGAACTGTCTAAGGTGATGCCCAACCTCTTCCACCTGATGTGCGTCCTGAAAACAAAGCTGCATCCAAAGAACGCCTGTCTGGACTCGTGTGATCATTGTGTTTATGTTGAGCGGTGTTCGGAGAGCAAGTTGGGGAGTTCTCCACACCACTGATGGTTAAAACCGATGACGCTCCATTGATTGGTTGATTGGGCCCTTCGATGCTTTTAGGAGGCACCCCAGCCAACACAGAATGCCCTGCATGGTCATGGAGAGCCATGGAGAGCCATGCCAATCCATGTGGATCTGAATTGCAAGTGGAAGTGAGGCTATTGATCTATTCTCAGCTGACGCGCCCAAGGTACAAGAGACCATGAGGTCATGGTGAGGGGATACAAAAGGAGCTTTCGGGGAGGGCACATCGACAAATAAGCAGCTTGGAGAGCATGGTTCTTGTCGCTTGGAGGGATCTGCACCTGTGTTGGGTTAGGATGTTCCTTCTTTCCTCCTGGTTTTCAGGGTCCCAAATGAAAAACCATCCACCAAGCGTGGATGAATTGGACCACGTTTCCCTGGCCGGACCACGTTTCAGCCTCCAGAAAGACGGTGCCAGCATTCCCTACGACGGTGGCCCAACCTGGCGTCCACGACGCTTCGTTGTGCTCATCGTGACCTCTTTGGTAGATTGGTGCACCTCTGGAATTTATTGAGCACAGATTGGATTCCTTTCGATCCCTTAGTGATTGCTTTGGATTCATGATTCAGATTCCTGAAAAAAACAACAACTTGTACCATGATGTATCTTGATCTGTGAAACTCCAAGAAGCTGCTGTTCTGTACTGGACTACAATTGATGCACAAGGATACACCAGAGTTCTTGGCATCAGGACGGTCTTGCAATCATCCAAGAGTGCGCAAAGGTCATGAACCTCCGCAAGCCCCTTTTTGCCAGCAGCAGTGACTGCGTCCTATGGAATCACATGGTGTGGATGAAGTCCACCTGGCAGCTTTGACGAATGGATGGGTGGAAAGTATTCAGATGTATTCAGTCAACAATCTCATGCCTGCCATTCAAATGCAAAAGTGTTTTGAGAACAAACGCTCCTTGAGAGGTGGCATTCAAACCTGGTTGGGGACAAGTCTGACACCCCTTTTCAAAGCTACACTGACATAGTAAGTTACACTTGCACAGCTTGCTTGACGGTCACCTTTCCTTTTCTAGCTGAACACACTGGACACCCTTTCTAAAGATCCCTGCCGTATGGATGTGCCTCTTCCTTACACAGCGTCTTTGAGTGCTTGTCATAGATCCGGGAGAACATGACCACCGTCTTGGAGCGTCGGTCGACCACAGCGTAGTTACCTGGAGGTTTTGTGGCAAGAAGGCTGGGGGGCAGCTCTGCCATGAACCTCTCAAGCTAATAATGTATTAGCACATCCCCGTGAACATTCCAAGGAGACCTTGTGCAAAACATTTAATCTGCAGGCATGGAATTTGAGTCTATAGAAAGGGCGGGGGTCAAGACACTCAGGCTCTACAAAATGCGTATGTTCTCTCAACTGCATTGCAACTCCTTAACCATAGTGATTTTTACAAACTACTTTAGTGCCCACATAGGTTCTCTACAAAAAATCGCCCGTATACGGGGCGTACGCCCACCCATTTGATAGAGGAAATGTCGACGGGGATATTAGCACTTGTATTAGCATATTAGGACAACAGTTTTTCTTCTTGACAGTCTTGACGGCTGATCCACATAGATGTAAGACTTTACGACCTAAGAAAAAAACACACATTCTTCCGCCTGAAGTATATCTCCCCCATAACCTTTCCCCCTACTATTACCTCTTTCAGGCCCTATTCAATCGAGGGTCTCCCCGCTTTCTCGTGCGGTTTCTCGCCGGCTCAGCGACGTACCCGTCGGACGCGGTACGTCGGACGAAGCGATTTCAGCTGTGCACGAAGTGGGTCTGTTTGGAGTTGTCCCCAGTAAAAAGGCAGCATCATGCAACCAAATCTAAGCGATTCCGTAACATGCTATACTTCCGATTGAACACCTGCAGGCTGAACTCAAACATACTCAAACTCTTAAACTTAAACTCTTGAATTTGATCATGACTTCACATTCTTTCCAGCGTCTCTTTGCTTTATTAAGCGGCTTCAAACACACACACACACACACACCTCTCTCTTCCTCCTCTTCGCCACGGCCACTTCGCCACGGTACAAAGATTGCCCGACAGATGTGACGGGACTCCTTCATAGCGCTTCTGAGTTAAGACCCTGTCATTGTGCTCCACGAAGAACTGGGAGAGATGTCCTGGAGAGATGTCCACACGTCACAGGATTAATTGTGCAAGGGACGGCGCTAAGTGGGAAGCGGTAGTCTTGACCTCCTTGGGAAGCATCTATATATGTGGGTGTGTATTAAAATAGGGAGACCTCCCAGTTCGACCCCCTGGAAGAAAGAACTAGACCAGTCTACCCGGTCTACCCCTTGGTTGGGAGGTCCACCTCTGTAGATACACATCCATCTACTCACAGTCGACCTCTTCCAGCGACCCATGGGTACGGATTCGCCCAGGTAGTCCCCGCCACACCACCTCTGGTGGTCCTCAAGTCGAGTCGAAGCCGGTAGGTAGTGAAGAGAAAACACCGAACAAATAGAAACACACACACACAGACAAAGGATATCAATGGATACTAAGAAGCACACAGGGGTTGTCACCAGGTGCAAAAATACATAAAAATACCTCACAACTGCCATCAACTGCGGGAACCCACCGTTTGGCCAACCGCTCAAAAATGGTTCCTGGTGCCCGGTGCGTTCTCGACATGTTCAAGCCGGGTCTCCGCACCCGGCCTGGCTTGGAATGATACACAGCAAAGGAGGGGGTGGAGAATCATTGCTCTTAACAGCAAATGATTGCAAGTCACCGGTTTCCCAATCTAATAATGCTATTATACGCTAGTTAACATGTTTGCCCTAAAAGCAAGGACAACTCAGGTATGTCAGCTATCTTATCTTTTGTGCCTGTGGCTACAAGTTACACAGTTACACTTGACTCACCCGAACACAACCCCGGGTTTGGGTATGTTTTGGCGGTGCCAAGTATCTCTTCTCCAACCAAAACAAACACATGTCCGATGAGCTCGGGACTCGACGAACATGTGTCGAATTCCACTGTCACGAACCGAAGTCCAGTGGTCATTGTCGTGAACCGCGCTCCTGCGGGGTGCTTCACCACCGAGTCCTCCTTGGCCCCATCGGACCACTTCCGGAAGGCCTTGCACGACCGTGCCGCGCCGGCGCGCGCTGGTCGCGACGAAGAAACAGAAGGCTGTGTGACTTCCCGATGAGCCCCGAGAGTTGAGCTTCGCTTCCAGGATTGGCCATATGATCGAACAGGCCATATGATCGAACAGGGTCACTGGAGTTACTCTGGAGTCACTCTATGGATCGACATGATTCTTGGATATTGAGATCTTGGGAGTGTTTTGTGGCGCTCTGATTCTTGGGTAGAAGCTTGATACCAGCAACAGGACTAGCGATGTTGTCGATTCTCAGAAGAAGAGCAGATTCATGGTGTTTATGCCCAGTATTCATGTGTTTATTCACGCGAGACTGATGAGACGCAGGAGGATTCTGTTCAGAAGCTGGTTGAACATCCTTCGGTCATCTACAGTCTGGCTCTTTGTTCTTCATGCTGGTCCTGGCACCGACTCACTATGAAAAAAATACTAATCAAAATGCATAAAAATGATTAGACCTGACATGGTGCTGTAATGGCCCACATCCATTACACCTTTCCATCCCACTAGATAGCTTTGGAAAACCGTCGATTCTACATCTTTTGATTCCATGACAATGAACACATGAACACCGGGTGACCTTGTCTTTCGCACCTCTTTCCTTCTGTCATGTCTTTTTCCCCCCAGATCTCTTTCGACCTCGTCCTCATGCAGCACGGGCGCCTGTCTCATCAGCGCAGTGCCAATGTTTCCCTTCGCCGTCCGCGAGCGCAAACGATCCTCCGATGGTTGGAGGTCGCCATCAACGGCCGAACCTTTCGAGCAACCCAACGGAATGGACAGTTTGGATCCTGAAAGTGATCCTGAGAATCCTGTAGATCCTAAGTGGAAATGTGGAAATCACTGTGCAAATCATCAAGTTGGAGAGTGACAATCTGATCCGCAGTCCCAACACCTGACTCATCAGCAATAGGAAAACATAAGAAAGCCATGGGAGCTCAAAACAGGCTGCAAGAAAGGCTCTAGCACCTGCCGGAAGGGATTGATAATTGATGAGGTCAGTTGTATATACATTTTGTAGACACCGGAAACATCGGCTCTGCCAATGAAAACTAACATGTTTTGAGTTTGAGAGATGATCTAGGGCCTTCCAAATTCACATCAACGCACCAACGGACACCGGTAAACGGATACTCAGCATACATCTCTTAACCTTGACCCATTACCGAAGTGGTGCACTCTGAACCTCACCCTGAACCAGACCTTCCAACGTGCCGCACATCATCCTTCAAGCTTATCCGTCGTCGTTTTTGGAATGACGTGGCAGCTTATCCGCGCGCCGTTTGGCCCGTCGTCCTGATTGATGCCAGGCCTATTCAGCTGGTCATACCAACGCTTGAACTCCTTCAGAGACTCTAGGATCACTGGATGCTTGGGCGTCGCAGCCAAGAACCTCAACGAACAGGGTTGCGTGGCCACAGAAGCCAAAGCAGCCAGTGTTTCAGCCGGTGAAGCGAAGGTGTTCTGAAAAGATCAGCAACTGGGTCAAGTACTGGTCAAAGTGGTCTCAGTTTTCCCTAACTGGATCGAAGAGAACTGGCGAGGAGACACGCTTGTGCTGGGATCACGCAGCGCTGAGTGTAAAGTAAGGTAAGCGCATTCACTCATCAACTACCCGAAAATGGCATGCAGAATAGGTGGGAGCACACAGCAGCAAAAGGTCCTCCGAACCCAAAAGCCTCCGAACCCAAAAGGCCTCACTAACGTGCCGCGCCATGGTGCAACGCCCTCCGGATTCCCACCTTTTTGAGGAAACAAACAGCATCGCCATGCACCGGAGGCTGGAGACAGTATTTGCAGCGATAGCAGCTAAATATGTACCAGCACCACCCAGATCGGGTGGTTGATAGACAGGCTTTGACTCTGTTTTCACTTGGCAGACTCGTTTGGATTGGGTCCAACAGTTTGCTGCCACTGCACGCTTGGAAATAGCTCTTGCCATCGTCTGCTATGACCGTGGCAAAGGTGGCCTGGCGCTCCAGGTGCTGCTCGAGGTTCGGGAGTGGAAGGATGTCCTCGCCAGTTGTCCGACGCGCCAGTTGGGCGGGCACGCCGACTGCAAGCGGGTCGCGACATCTCGCGATCCGACTGAGGGAGTTGGTGTATGATTTCTGAACAAAAATGATGGTTCAATCCACCTTGAGGGGGGAACTCCAATCTACGCAGTGATCCACCTTAGGAGCCTTCGGGTGATCCAATCCTCAGCAGTTCCAGTGGCGGGAGCCTCAAAGGGAGTTGCAATCACCAAATTTTCTACATGATGCTGCGACGTCTGTTTCTGAGCACTCATACTCTCAATGGCGTGTTCCATCACACTGATAGGTGTCTTTGCTCTTTGACACCGAGGTTTCCTTTCTATCCTCTTGCAAACTGACATGGACCCTGAAAAAGGACTTCTGGAACAAGACTTTCCTCTACAACCCAGTGTTTTTCAGGGTTCATGTGAATCTGCAGAAGCGTACGTCCAAATAGCACGGTGAGAGTTTCGTTTTGGAGGAAGGTGGGAGCATTTCGTTGATACCAAGGATCCGTATCGAAGTAGTAGCCACCCAGCTTGTACATCATCACCAGACGGCACAAGTCCGATTTGATCATTCCCACCTCGTGGGTCAGAACATCCGAAAGGCAAAGGGAAGGGAGGTGCTGAGGTGCTCCTTTCATTGAAGGTCCAGGGAACCGACGGAAAAAGGTGGGGGGCCCAAGATCCTCATCCCCCCCTTTTCTGACGACATGTCGCCCGCCCTTTCGTGTTGCATGCAGACCTGGCGCGTGGCCCTTAGCGGAACAGTGGAACAGAAGAAAACAGCAGCTGTCCGAAGACCTCACCATGCCAGAACCTATCAGTTGGTCCTGATGGTCCAGTACATTCATGCCACAGGATTGACCCTTGAGGCTGCGAAAGAAAGACATCCAGAAGCGAACTTATCGGCAAACGTTGCGAAGTCTTGCTGGAGCTGAAAGACTTCTCTCTCGGGGTGATGAAAGCTTCCGTCAAAGCCGCGGTCAACATCTTAGTTTGTCAACCTGTTATTTCTTAGTTTGGAGGGATTGCATACTCACACATCCTCACACCGTGAAAAACATCCATCAACAAAACGAGCCAGCACATTGGCCTCAAAACGATGCCGTCACCCACATGCCATCATCATGAGTCTTTAAAGACTAATCTGCTCCTTTTTAGCTGTCAGTCCAGAACTGAATTGCTTGTAGCGAAAATAAGGGGGATAGATCAACAATTCCATGAACATGTCGGACATTTTGCTGGCTTTCATGAATGCTCCCCGACTACTGTTATAACTAAGCCAGGCATCCAAACAACAAACTTACCCACCTATCCGTGCGCCCGTGGTGGCGAACCTTTTCAGCTGTGGAACAATCAACAACACCAGAGTAGCAACCGGAATACATACGCACATAAATGAGCATGTCTTTGAGGTGGAATGTCTTTGGAATGGCATCCGTTACACTCCAACGAGCAATTGGGATGTGAATGGCCTCAACAATCGATCCCTTATCAGGTTGAGAGACCAGAGCTAGGACCCTGGTCTGTGGTAGATAGGTGAGTACAGGGCTATAGGGTCCTAAGGGAAGCCTGTAGTTTTTTTGGCCATAGGTGAGTATAGGACAGACTGTGGTGGATGTGGGATGGGCGAAGAAGGGAGTCTCTCCCACCTTCTCCCGGGCGAAGTCCAGCCCCAAAGCTTCACTCTCCTGGAGCGCCGGGTGGAAGGTGTGGGTGTTGAGGTTTGCTTTGAAACAGGACATCACCATGGAAAAGCACGATGTGAAGAAGATAATGAAAGAAAAAGAAACGCTTCGTTGCTTGCCAAAGGGTGTGGGAGGACATCCATGATGACGGGCAACATGACAAGAGAAACATGAACATGATCAGGTCCTGGAATCCATTGAATAAGAGGGTGACCCAGAAGGTGTTGGATCATTGTTTTGGGGAATCCCTAGCTTGACACCCCAACTGCCAAGACCTCTTGCGTACTTCTCCCATTTCTTCGCCCACAAGAGAGTGACTGTGATTCTCCTCAAGGATTGATCCCATCCTGAGGGATGGATCCTACAATTGTAGGATTGACTGCGCAACATCATGCATCATGCTCTGAAGACGATTGACGCACCCACCATGGTTTTCCAAGGAACGATCTGTTGGTGATCATGAAGGGCGATGCATGAATAAAACTCCGCTGCAAATGAACATTCAGCCCTCAAAAATCACTAAGTTGTAAGTTGTAAAGGAAACATGGTCCTACGGGTGAATTCTCAGGTTCCATGGGATCGTTTGCAGGAGGGTCTTTGACATGAATCTGTCTCGCCGATGGATCTGGGTGGGCCTCACCAAAAGGACCTATATAGCCACATCGAGGAACCCATCAAAACCAACAGAGGTTGAATGACCCGAACTAGACTATCCCAGTTCGGTACCCCAGGTTTTCCAGGTCCGAACGTTCAGGTCACGTTCCACCTCTGTTGGAACATATGCCAAATGCGTTGACATGAGTTGGGCACCTTTGAGTTCCTTCAATCAAAACCCTTCCTAAAAAAGGGGGCTCCTTTCAGAAAAAACGTAAGGGGTCCTTACCCCGAGAAACATAGAAGTAGAAAGTGACTTGCTCAGTGATTTTCCCACTGGTGGTTGTCCACTGCCATGTTTGTTGGAGGTAAGGTAGATGCAATCTTGATCAATCTTGCAACAAAGTCCAGTACCAACAAATGCTCCAAACGACATATCCACATTCACCTATAACACTGGCCTAACACTCAGAACCCCCCCACAACGTTGAGCAGCTTCGCTCGCCATCCTCCAGTGGCAATTGTTCAATCCCGCTTTGGCACTCGTGGTCGTCCCAGAAATGCACGTCGGACGGTGCCACATCCGGGAACAACTTCACCTGCAGTAGGGTTTAGCGATGCGCCATATACCGCCAGTGCGGTCAGCACACGCCGGATGCGGTGGGAACCAACAAGATAAAACACAACTTAAGGAGGTTTATGTGGGCAGCGACACATTCAAGAACACTATATGGTGGTTGAGATATGATCTGAATGATCTGAATGGCCCCCAAAATCAGGAGTTATGCATACAGTACATGGACATGGGTTACCCACAGTACAGTGTGTGAAGCAGCTGATCTCACAAACCGCAACACGTCCAAGCAAGTTAGCCAACCTATATCAACAAGTGCCAAGAGGCACGCCGTTTCTTCAATGCCCTGTCTGAAGCTCTTCAGGACTCTAGGCAGTTGGAACCGTGAGGGTGGAAGTATCCAGTCTCCTTGCCTTAACTCATTGGCCTCCCCCAGTTCCAACGGGCCTAAGTTAAGGAACTTTGTAACATTTTTACATATATATGTCAGATGATCCAACGCAACATCACAGGTGCTAGAAACGTGCTTTGCCACAGCCTCTCGGGCTCAAAAGCAAAGGGCGACGAGCTACAGTATCATTTGGGGTGTTCCAAACAGACATGTTGGGGAGGGCAACACCATAGATAGGTTTGGGTCCTGTTGCCACTGAGGCAGGAGCCGGACTTCCATCAAGCCTCACTCCAGTGACATCGTGCCAAACGAGGCACTGTGTGACGCACATTCTCGCGCAGGAGTTTGCTCTCCTTGTCCAGGCTGGAGTCAGCTGCTTTCAAGAGGTTGACCTTGTGGTTGAAGAGCAACCTTGGAGAAAACCAGGGCATGGTGTTCCAATATACACACGCGATGCCGCGGTTCTATTCTTTCCATTACCTGACAACAGGCCCATTTCCCCAAGAGAAGTTGCCAAATACCTCAACAGGTTCGTTCCTGCTGTATTGAAGGGGAACATGTTCCTGTCCATGGATTCGTACGGCCTATCTGCTCTGATCAGAATGAACATGCTGCATAGAAGCGCATGTTGACCTGTCGAGTCTATTCGAGTCATTTGCTCCGCACCTGGTGAACTTTGGTAATTCTTTCAACTTCGGCCTTGATACATCTTGACAACCCCAATTTGACTTGGAGGTTTCATGCTGGTTTCGAGTCATGCAAACGGTTTTTCTCGGCCAAGGACTTTTGGCTCCCCCAGCTTCGGGACACATAAATCCTTATAGAATCTGAGTCCTGGCAAAACGACATCACTATAACATTTAATCTAACCCCCTTAGTCGGAATGGAAACCTAACGAGAATTATATAATCGGAGAAAAATCCGATAACTTAAAGATCACAACCCCATCTCCGAGACAAACCCAACAGCAAAATATATCAGAAAATCAAGCGATCCTATTGAACCATTTTAAAACAATGTGAAACAAGATAGTTGTTTCCGATAAAATTTCCAACAACATCCGACAACTTGCAAACTTGATGTACCAAAATGAACTGAACAATAAAAAATCGTGAGGATCATCAAAAAGCAACACCATCAACATTATTCATTGAACCCAGAGGCTAACGTAACAAACCTACACGACAACAGCAACCTTACTATAAATTCACAACCCCCATGTGACCATGCAAAAACTCACAGAAAGCTATACCTTCCTCACACCTCTCTATAAATCTGACCTCCCAGGATGTTGCAACCTCACGGAAACATGTAGCTGAAAGGGTGCTTTTCTTAGAATCTGGAACCCTGAGTGGCTCTATTCTATAGAGAGAAATTGTTACTATATAAAATAGTCCATAGAGGAAATGTCAAACGGGATTCAAAAACATGTACAATTGTATCGGAAGGCTGTCAGCTGATCTGTGAGCAGCCATTGAAAGGGCAAACAAAAAGTCATCAAGGAACTTCCACGTGTCAGAAGTCTGACATTTAGGCTGTTCATGTCAGTATGTCCTTGAGCCGATTCGATAGCAAACCACCCCGCCCTGGGTTTCCGAAAAGGATTTGATCCATGGATGTGAAAAACCTCTGTTTGCTCACTGACGTGCATCCTTTCGCGTCCCCGGAAACGCGTCCCGCTCTTCTCGGGGGACCGTCGGGGAATGGACCACGGAGCCGGGTCCTGGCGCGGGAGCCCGGCGTTTCACCCGGAGCGAGGTGATGTTCTGACACTGCGCCGTGATGTTCGGGGGGGGACTGGTGAACTTCTCAGAAACCATGTCTGACATGTCGTTTTCCAAGGATCGAAAGAGAATCAAACCCAACCACCGCACGTGAGGCCCAAATTGGTCAAAATCACTGGAGCAAGCATCAGAACCGCAGGTTGATCTACCCTACTAGTATCAATCTCAAATCTACGCTATTCCATGTTGTCTGCGTCTTGTGTTTGCTACTTGTGCTTCCCAACCAAGCCATCTTTTTGACGCAATAGACTGGAAATGACTCAAAATTGGTGCTGTTGCTGTTGGTGGTGCTACTAACATGAACGTGCCTTCTGCCTACGTAAACCATGGTTGAAGGGAGTCGTACGGTTCCAGGGTGTCGTTCCTATAGAAACTAACTCGGCAAAATCGTATTGCTGTGTGGGATGCTCTTAAAACTGCTTAATTAGGCCAAAAGTTTGGGTCAGTCACAAACGATTCATTGTGATATGAATTGTGTGTTTCGTGTTTATTGTTTTCCTCATTGGGTCAGACGCGCTTCTAGTCATACTTCACATGGACCTTTCATGAAGCGCTGCTCACCCCGCACCGCACCACGCGGTAGTAGCGCGCTACGCTCGTCGGACCCGGTCTTCCTCCGGGTCCGCCCACCTTCACGGCCGGTCCGCTGATAGCCTCCACGGCCTGAGAGAGCCTCTCCTGGGGGGAGCGAGACGGCGCGAGCAACGGAGGAGGACACCGAGCCGATGGATTTTGGGAACAGGTGAAGCTTCTGGATTTGGTGGGACGCCCCGAAACCAGCTCTGATGTTCAAGGTCATCCACCTTCTCCTCAAGAAGGCCAGCGATCCGCCGACTTCAGGCACCACCCGGCTGCTCTGCTCCGTTCACCCGGGTGGGCGGGTGTGCGGGGTACGGTGGTGACTCGTTCCAGTTTTGGGCCGGGTGGGTCCCCTCCCCTCCCAACCTCGTTCTCCCAGCCTCTCCAGTCGAATCGGCCCCCTCCAATCCCGAGCCCCGTCGGACGACGCGTCGGCGAGTCCATCGTCTTCCTTCTTTTTTGGGGGGAGGTTCAAAAAGGATGTTCAAAGGATTCATATAGATTCATGCCATGCGCCGCATGCACCATGCATGGTTTGAAGATGTTTGAAGTTCTCAATTTTGCTTAAAACATTTGATTCCAAAGCCTGAATTTTCGTGCAGAGGGAACTCTCAACTCCTCGAGCCTCGAGAACTCGAGCACTCGGTCACTATTGGGGGGTGAAAACGATCCCAACGAGCCCAACGTCCAACCGCGGCGGGAACGCGTGGAAGAACCGGGTCACCCGGGAGACGTGCTTCCACCCCAGTGAAAACTTGAACTATGGACCGAACGAACTCGTGTTTCTTCCTTTCAGGTCCGAAGGAACTCGTTCCAGCGGACCCAATTCCATCGGCAAAGACCGCGTCACGGAAGAGTTTAGGTCCAAGAGGTCCAAGAGGTCCAAGGCTCTAGAATGCTCTGTAAGTTCGAAACGACGCCAGGGGCCATAGTGGGTCTCAGCGTCGACGACGGTGTTGCTTCATCTCCTACTTCAGGGCCAGGTCGTAGGGGGCATCGAGTGGCTCCGTAAGGAATGCAGGGCTTCTGTTTTCGTGTTCCTTTTCTTTGGAATCCTTTGGAACCACAGGGAGCCCGAGATCTCGGAGCAGTTTCCTTGGTTTCCGGGCCAATCGGGCGAACTTGGATGGCTTGGGTGTGTCCCAAAACGATCCTTTTATGTAGAGGTGCGATAGCAGTGTAGCAAAGGCAAAACAACTCCGAGCGAACATTGATTCCTACCAGCAGTTACAAAGGGGTGCCTATTCGAGGATAAGGGTGCCCAGAACATCCACTCACTTGGGGGCTAAAAGCATCTAACAACCATTCCTTTGGAACTGCTGGTATAGGATCCTATAAGGTCTTTGCACTGCTTCGCACTGCTTTATTGATCTTTATTGCATCTCTCGAGATCCCAAGCTTCACAGCGACACGTTTGCCACACCCCGTGTCGTTCTTCTGCTGAACGGCGCACCCATCTGCTGCATTTGTGGTGTCAAAATGATTCAATGCAAACCTGAAATGTTCGGACCCCCATTCTTTCAATTGTCGTGTCTCTTGCAGGCTCTCCACACAAGATCAAGACTGCTGCCCTTGCCCAAACGCACGGTCCTCACTCAGTTGAGATCGTTTTAACTTACAGTAATTGGTTTATGCATGGTCATATGTTTACCCCCTCCATGTTGAAATCATCGCAGGAGGAAATACTTGAACCTCCACGTCACGTCCAGGCGTTGTCCGAAGGAGGTGACTCCCGTCCTTCGAGAAAGGACACCTCCTGGAGCACGAGCCGGTTAGAAAGCGAAGGAAAAAACACACACATGTTCTTACCCCAAACACTCCATCTATGACATTGTGGCTTTCAGGGGTCCATGTAGACTATAAAGGATTATGAAGGATTATATTTCATAGATTGAGTCAGTCTGAGTACTGGTTTGAAGCTACAACTGATTGACAAAAGGAGTGGCATGACAAACTGGTCCAGGACCGAAAAACACATCCTTAGATATTATGTTTAGCGGGCCTTGAAGTGATGACAAAGGCATGTTGCTTTGCAGTCTTCCTACAAGGAGGACAAAGGTTCGAAGTTAATACACGTGAATACGCACGCAACAACCATAATCTTGTGCTGAGATTTCAAAAGCTCAGCACAATGCAGCAAGAGTGGTTATGTGTGGCTGGGCCAAAACAACCTTCTGCAACCCTCGACCCATTGCATAGATCACAGCATTCCGTGATGACATGCTGAACTCCGGCCTGCAGAACTCCGGCTGATGATAACGCCTGCCTTCAGGCAAGAGATCGTCATGACGCTTCCAAAAAAGAACACAGGGGTGGACAAAAAGGGTGGGTTCCTCCATGTTTTCTCCCAAACAATTTCTCCCAACACAAAAAGTAACCTTTTTATTGTAGATCCTTCCCAGGCCAAAACAAGCACTCGATCGAATGGACGGCAAAAAGCACTGAATGAGATTGAGTGAGGTGTTGTTTTTGTTTCTGTTTGTGGACTTCACATCTATTAACATCTCAAGGTATGTACATATACAGTATATATGTTTGACTGTTGATTCAATGTGTTTGTCTCGGGGTCATCAAGAATCCTCTGTGCCCTTCTCGAATCACATCTTCCACCACCAAGCCGCCCCCGACCTTTCGATTCGGGTCACGAACTCTTAGAACTTTGGAGGTCAGCATGCACAGCACCTGAGTCCATTAGAGTCCAAAAGCATCCGAATCAACAAAGTCCTGGATCCCCAACATGCATTACTGTATATTACTGTATGGCAGTGGGGAACTGGCACCAGGATACCGACCGGGTTGACCTACCTAGGAGGTCATAAATGGTGGACAGGTCGAGCTCCAGGTGTCATGACCCATCCCCATATCACGGGGTCTGCATGCATGCTTTGAGGCCCAACAGATTTGCTTCTGCCCAAAGTCCAATTTCTGAAGCCTTTGTGGATGGCCTCGCACCCGGCCAAAAAAGACCCAAACAGACTGGCATTGATCCCTTTCGCCAGTCCCAAACAGGTCGTGTCTCGCCCCATTTGGAAACTCCCAGTTCGGCGTCCCGGCTTCGAACACCCTGCACCCGGCCGCGGGTCGGGTCAAGGTGCCTGGAGACTTCATTGGGAACGAGCGACAGCTTGTAACTCCAAGCGCCGCTCGCCAGCAGTGCCACGAGTGTTCGGAGCATGGACGACGACACGCTCCGTCTCCACCGCGTCGACTCAGTCGACGCGACTCAGACGGTGAACGTGTGAAGAAGAGAACGTCAAACAATGAAAGATGTGTTTATAGGCACACCTGATGAGTCTGACTTGTCTGGGCATGAGAAATCACATATTATTTAGTCGGTCATTTATTATGGGATTCGCAATCGTTGTGCCCCTGCCCTCGTGGCCTCATGTGGCCCCTCCAAACCCCGTGGAGCTGGAGCCAAGATGAGGCAGACGGTGTGCAGGCGTTTCGCTCGCCGCTTCTGCCAAGGTGTGGGGCATTTCGCCACAGTTTTCTATTGGTGAATGCGCCAGACCCGCCATTCACCAGCAGTTTCTCTTTCTAGCTCTTTGCTTGGTTTCTAAAGGTGTCTATCATTCGTCAAACTGACTTCAGAAGATTTCAGAAGTATGACACATTCGTCCCTGTGGAAACAAGGAGTTGTGACACCATGACCGTCCCTGCCTGAGAAGGACAACCGGCAACATGACATTGACTAAACCAAGCCTTGGAAGGTACTGTTGCTTCGTGGAAAGATCATCCATGGCCCCATTCGCCTGAAAATGGTTGGCATCTGAAACAGGTCGGCTTCAGGACACTCCAACACCGTACGTCTTGAACAATAAAACAATAAGGACCGTCTAGACATACTAAGACCCTCCAAGACCATCGAAAGACGGTCCTCAACAACGAACACCATACCGCTTCTCAACAACGAACCGACCACATCCGTCCTCACTGACGCCTCCCACTCCGAACCGAAGACTCCGAACCGGCGACCCGCCGACTCGACCCGCCACAGCGCCGACACTCGCGCGGTGTGGCGGGCGCGCCTATGGCACCGTCGCTCACGGCTCGGCACTTCATCCTCGGATCGGACATCGGTGCGAGAGGAGAAGCCCTCTGCGATGAGAAGGTATAGATGTGACCACAAGCTCACACTCAGTCCTGGATCCCAAAAATATGTGGCTGTGGGTCAAACCTGAGATTTCTTGGTTGACCTACCTGGCAGGTCAAGTTATATATCGTACGGGTCGGGCTCCAGGTTTGGACCCACAGCCACATTGGTAGATGATGCTCACTTCGGCCCTTTGCCTCCCTCAACCCACCTGTCGTCAGCCTTTGATGATCGTCAGGCACTCTGGACTACCAAAGGAAGCAAGCGTTTTGTGCTAGAAGCCACCGCCTCATGAGCCCAGACTTCTCTTCTTTCTTCATCCAAGAACGCACCTGGCGATCTGGCTGTGAACATCACGTGCAGCATCTTGCAAAAACTCATGTCTCAAAAACAAGCTTTTGGAAGGGTGTTAATCGAAGTGTCAGTTCTTCAGCCAAATAAACAGAAGGAGCCACCCCACATCGAACAAACACAACCATGAACCATGTTGTTCTTTTCTTGCTGAACGCTTTAGCGGGAAACGTCTCCATTTTTAGCTTCAGGTATCCCCTGATCCCGATGCAAGTGTTAAATCCTGCAATCATTTTGAAAACAAAGAACTGCTATGGCTGTGTCACCATTAGACTGAATAGATAGGTCAAAAAGAATCAACAATTTGACTTCACAAGTATCTCTCTGCTTGGGACAATGTTTTGAAGAAACATGTCTTGTCAGGAGGTATCGCATAGTTGGAACTCCAAAGTTTGGAACAATATATCAAAAAAACTCTATACAACCCTGAACCATCCAAGGGACGCTCGTGGAGACCAATAGACTACTTGTGGGCGACACTACTTGGACACCCGCTGGATGGTCCTGAACTTATCTGGACTATACATCCTACAATCACAGTTGGGTTGGACCCTTTCTTTTGCAAGAACCAATGAAAACAGGTAGATTCAATGAATTGAACCGACTCATCATGTGTCCAGTCAATATTTCCAGGTTCACACAGTTTCACATGTCAACGCTTTCAGCGTTCAACTCTGAAACAATAACCCCCCTCTACTAGCTTGGATCGTTTCATCATCTTGCAAATTCTTAAGCTCGCAGGGCTCTCTAATGCGAGACCTTTTCGTCCAACAAACTCTTCGGCACCATCGCACACCGCGCAAACCGCTAGTAAGTTGATGAAGATAGCTTCTATACAAGGAGCAAGGGGCCCTCTATAAGTATGCCATAGGCCATAGGTCACACATGCTCAGTGTTCAGGATCAATCCGAACTCCTGAGAAAAGACCACAGGTTCTGGTTGCATGTCAGGCTCTTGAATGGTTTCAGAAGCCATGTATGGCAGGTTTTACCATGAGTGTCCACGTTCTCTCCAACATGCGCGTCCTCCAGTCAAACGCACGCGCTCCGGACTTTTGACCCACGGGATTCCACGTGTGTAAGGTGTGTGCCCCCTGCAGGATCAGCAGCTCACAACAGCGTACTGGGTTGTATCTTTGCCACGACAAGAGGGGTGTATGACGAGTGGTGTATGATGAGTGGTGTATGACGAGTGGTGTATGATGAGTGGTGTATGCTGAGTGGTGTATGATGAGTGGTGTATTCACCAGCAGTTGAATGTCCTGTCCTGCATAAATGCAACCAAATACTATCAGTATGAACTGTGCCAAACCTGCACGCCGCGAGAGATGACTCAGCAGCGAGAGATGGCTATTATAGCGAGAGCTGACTCAGCAGCGAGAGATAATTGAGCAGCGAGAGATGACTCAGTCGCGAGAGATGACTCACAGCAGCGAGAGCTGACTCAGCAGCGAGAGATGACTCCTCCGCGTACTACAAAGTGGCCAGTTCTCAGCTTCCAGCTCCACAGGTTGTTCCGCGTGCTAAAAAGTTATATTTATTGTATTTAGATGGATATTTGAGATGATTAGATGGCAAAATGTTTCTCTGGGAGAGAACTTATTTTCATAAAAAGTTGACATGCACTTTGTGGAGGGGATCCTATAGTGGGATAGGATGCTATAGTCCTATGTATATAAGTAATTGATCCAGCTATGTATACCACCCAAGAGTTGCATGTTTAGGAGCCCAAGGTTTCATGACAAAACAAAAAAACTTTTTCACAACTAGCCACAGGCTTCCCAGCCACAGGCTTCCCAGCCACAGGCTTCCCAGCCATAACACCATCAGCCACTGAACGCCGTCGTCTTTTCCACTCAACGCTGTCCAAAACACCGCTCACACTTTGGCCGCGGGTTTCTTAAGAGCCCCCTTTCTCACAACTTTGGAAGCTTTGGAAGCACCCTCTGGCTCCAAGTCATGGTTGGCCTCCGCAAGTGAAATTAGAAGTAAAAGTGGCACTCATTATTTTTTAAAAAACTCTAAAACCAGGTTCCGAAAAAACGTTAAAAACATACTTTAAGGTTGAAGGCCTCCTCAGCGCTTCCAGTTCCAACACCTTCTGTCACATCCATATCATGCCCTGCGCTCTGAGAATCTTCCATCTTCTGATCAGGTAGCGGAACAGTAAGATCCCAAATCTCAGGGTTGTACTGGACAAAATCAGGCGCTTCAGGAAATGGATGACCGCTTTGTAAATTGTCTTGTTGCGAGATAGTGTCCTTCAAAGCCACCGAAAGCCACCATGGTTAAAAATACTTTGGGTATGTAAAAAAACATAAAAAACATTTCAACATTTGTTGGGGTGTCCTCGGGGCTCTTGTTGTTTGGGGCCGGCGTGCTGATCTCAGAGTTTACTGATGGCGTGCTTGCCGCAGAACTCTCCATTGGCACAGTTGAAGGGCCTTATTGATCTAAAACAAGAGTCTGAGCCCAAATCAAAGCTAACAAATTACTTCTGAACACAATTTGTTTTTTGAAACACATGATGTCGTCGCACGCACGCGCCTTGCTGCTTTACTTGTCCAATCATAGATTGCAGGTTACCACCCCAGTATTTTTGTAGGGCCCATCAGTTCTTACACTTTGAAGTGTACCCGTCAGTCAGGGCTTTAGAAACACATTTTTGCAACTAATGTCACAACATCATCATTGCCTTTGATATCTTAGAGACTTAGAACATAATCCCTGACGCTTCATCATTTTCCCTCAAAGCCAATTCAGCACTGGCTGGGAAGTCAGTGCCTGCTGAGTGGGAAGTCAGTGCCTGCTGGCTGGGAAGTCAGTGCTTGCTGGCTGGGAAGTCAGCGCTAGAAGACTGGGAAGTCTTGCTGCAGCCGTTTGGGCCGGTTGCAAATCCGAGCGGCGTTCATCACGTCGGGTTCCCCAGTTCATGGGCTTCAGTGATTTCTTTTGGTTTTCTTTTTGTTGGGCACTGGCGTGCATGCAAACAAGAAACGTTCGACATTTGACATTTGCAAGGAAGGGAAGGGGCTGCTTGCAGTTGATTGCTCAATGCATGTCCGTGATCACCTTCGCTCAAAGTTGTCAGGTGGGATTTGTTTAGTGATCCGTTGGGTGGGAACCCTTGTGTTTTTTTGCGCTATGTCTACAATGAGTGAACCTTTGTTGACCTTTGACTGGGCTTCTCTTTCTACAGAAGACTTGTTGAGCATCTTTGATGCAATTTGGGCGACGCTGAAGAAGCGGCTGGGCAATGGAAATCCGGCAGCAAGTTCAATGCCTGATGCGTCCTCCACTAGTTCCTTCTGTGTGGTTGAAGATGCAGAACAGCAGTCTCGCCCACCGTTGCGCACGCCGTGGTCTTGTGGGTTCAGGTGTCGTTGGTGCGAGGAGGCATGCACTCGTGCCGAAGGCCACAAACATCATTCGTGCTTTGAGCACAGGAAGCGCAGGTGATGGTCTGCAATGCATCTTGATGGGATGGCATGTTTTATGACTTCGACAGCTCCCCACCTGCTGCCCTTGAGTTCAGAGCCAGGGATCATCGAGCTTTGGGCTTCCAGAAAAATGATCTTGCACATAATCAGGGACGTTGGTTTAGTGCTGTTTGCTTTCCATTGCCTGGTTCCTGGTTCAGTTGGACTTAAACTTGAAGACGAAGACATCATGCAACCATGTAACGAGGAGGCAGTGATTGTCATTTTGACCGCCAGGAAATGAACACTTTTTGCAATGTTTTGCCTTTATTCAAGCCTAGGCTCATTGCGCATGGTGCGTGCAGGAGGTGCTCTGGGGCAAGTCGTGGGGCGGCGTTTCTTCAGTCATTACGAGATATGGCAGAGGCTCAGCTATGTTCATAACATTGCTTTAAAAAACATGTTCACGACATGTTTGGAACTTTTCAGTTTGGCTTGTGAAAAGTCTTGAGCATGTGTGTGAAACTAGGCATGTCTGACTTGCACACCATGCGGGTCAAGAAGGGAACAGCATTGGCCTCAGCTGTCTTTGTCTCTCTCTCTCTCACACACACACACTTACTGTAGGCTTTATTAAGATCCATTGAAACACCAGGGCTTCCCAGCCAGTATGGACTTCCCAGCCAGTCTCCATTGAAAGACCAGGGCTAGCCAGTATGGACTTCCCAGCCACTCTCGCAACGAATTTTTTCCAAAGCTTCAACCCCGCTTTGATGTTCCGGCATCGCGCATGGTGGTTGCGTCGCTCAGGCCTGACCTTTTGCTATCAATCGCCAGGGCCTCAACTTCAATCTAGTTCAGCCGCAATCCTGTGGCAAAGCCCCATTTACATTCAACCTCTTGCAAACTAAACCTGAACCTTCTTTGTTCATGGGGTGTCGTGTATTCAGTACAGTAACCTTTTCTTGTCATCTTCTGGGGCTGTACCAATCACTTTCAGCTCCGCTTTGTGAAACTGCTCTTTTCAAGCCAAGACGGCTGGGAAGCCAAAGCTCTTGGATGGCTGGGAAGCCAAATCTTCTGAAGATGCACTGTGAGTCCATTGTTTTTAGGATTGGCTCGAGCCTTTCTAGCAACATGTCTAGGAAACGGCCCGCTGCAGCCATAGATGATGGGCATGTTGTGCTTCCCAAATTGACACTAGAAAGCAATTGCAAAACAGAAGTTGCTTTTGAGTTGGCCTTGCCACAACAAAAAAGACAGAATAGTTGACTGGCCTTTACTCGATTATATAGAACATCTTAGAAGTTGTCATGAAATCAAAGCGGTTCCATGCTGCGCCACTCAGGAGTGAATATCCATTGCCCACATCCTTGCGGGCAGTGAACGAATGGCCACGCATATTGCTGGATCGAGCGTGTGCTTTCTGGGGGGAGGAGCACGTCAAACGAAAGCTGCGAAACTGTGTGGCAATGAACTTGAATTGACAAAGTCGGTGTAGGGTGGTTACGTTATGTTACATTGCTTGTTATCATTTGTATCACCATGGCACTAGACGCCCAAGGAAACGTGACATGGCAAGTCCATAGCCTATTCAGTGGCATCGAATGTTTCCGAGAAGCGATTTTGGTGCTTGAGAGTGCTATTGCAGAACGATTCTCTATCAAACTAAATGTGGGATATGAGATCATGGTGGCTCACAAGCAGTTATTGCAAGTGTTCTATTGCAATGAATTTCTCCCCCGACAACCCCAACCAGAGTCAGGCCCCGTCATGGCCCATGGTGCCTGTTTTCTTTTGCACTGAGGTAGAAAAGAACAACGCTTGCAAGAAGCTTTTGCATGAACACTGGCCCAACACCTGCCTCGCATCAGATATGTTTGATCTGCTGAAGACCATCCCTGCGTCGGCCAAGGGCAAGGCGTGGTCACCACGAAAGCTGAAGCTGGCAAAGGATTTCAATTGTTACGCCCACAGCAAAAAGTGCCTTGAAACAAGTTTCATTGTGGTCTTATGTGCCCAAGAATGTGATTTCTGGTAAGTAAATGAGGCCATTGACATGCCATGTTCCACTTTCACGATCAAATTGAGGTGCAGTCTTTCCTTCTACGATGACTCTGTGGGTGTCCTTGGGGCTCCATGCATCTCCCACTCGAAGATTCACAGCTAAACCAACAAGAAGCAACGCTTGTAATATAGTTTTGCTGGTTGTTTTTCAACGCTTCAACCCAAGGTCAGTGTTGTTTCTTATAAAGTAGCTTTGTTTCCACATCCAAGGATGGGGAAGAAAGATGGCTTTGCAAACCCTTTGACAAAACAGCTTCATGATATCAGCACAGCAATGATTCCAAGAACCAAGCTGGCAATCCATGAGAATGTCACAGAATATGCAGAAGATGAGTACTTAAAGGAAGAGACCGGCTTTATCGTTCAGAAGACAGAGTTTCTGGGTTTATTCATAGGTTGCATATTGTGTTTCTTTCGCGTTTCCACATAGGTTATCGTCCCTCGCATGGTTTTTGTCCCCGCTCTGCTGAGCTCCCAGGCTATCTCCGCGCTTGTTTGGCGAGCCTACAAATCGCAACCGGGCATGGCGGATTCTTTTCGATCCTGAGAAGGTCTTTTGGAACTGCATCTACACCTTCAAAGAGCTTACTAAAATATTCCTTGTTCCACATGGGTCACCGTTGCGAGTGAGCCCATTGATATTTCTTACTGCAACAGAGAAGGAAATCAAGGTCCATTCCAAAATGCTAGAGGACCTCTCACCCTCAGAAGCTTACCATTTGAACAAATTCATGGAACAACGGCCGAGCAAAGGGTTCTATGACCTATCATCAAACCCTGACCATCGACGGCGGACAGAAACCTCAGACGGTGCTCTCATGACACTCACAACGAATACTCACATTTGGCTACTCACCTGTAGACTTCAGAATGTTTTATCACTTCAGGCCGGGCTAGGTGCTTTTTGGAACTGTCAAGTGATTTGGGAACATGGCCCGACCCAAGGTCTTGTGAGAAGGAACGCATGCTCACGGCAAAGGAAATGTTGGCTACGCTGGGGTACCCCTGTCGAGCAACGATGGCCAATCAACTTCAGACTGATGCTAGACTAGACTTTACCCAGCGCATACTTTCATCCAATTTCATTTTCCCTTGAAAGAAAAATGTTTCATTAAATGTTTACTGTAGATGTTTAAAGAAGGGTGCAAAGTCAAAGTGATTCAGGTTGTGGATGTAAGACATTGATCGCTTCTAAGGATGTGAGGACTCTAGATGCTACAAATGCGGCGCTGAACAAAATGGCAGGAAACGGCATGCATCTAGCCTCGGCTGGCTTCACAGCGCTGGTGGCAATGCTGTGCCTGAGTGACAAGTAGCTTTGGCATCTGAATCTCCGAATGAAAAGTAAAAACCGCGGCCAAACATAGTCGGCTTTTGTGTGGGAATGTGCCACTGACATCAGAACGAACTATGTGCAAGTGCTCTCAATTTAATTCGTACAATTGTTCATGCATTTCCCTCAAGTCACGGCTAAATTTTTGTATGCGTATGGCATGACATGGCAAGCCCATGGTTCACGCGTTTAATGTGACTGGTAGCCTTAGCGTTCAAAAAAAGTTCTTGGTCCCAACCAGCAAGTTTGTGTCAACCCAACCTCATGAGAATCATTGTCATACAGAAAGCTTTTTTGCAACGCCATGATGCTGATGGCATGGGCAAGGTGGGAAAGGGCCTTTTTCAAGATGAGCCGGAAGAGGTCAGGAAAGTGGCGATAATTGGCCGGTTGTTTGGCGCAGAGCCCGAAGAGAGGCCAAGTTCCAAAAAGCCACGAGCTGAACGATCGGCTTCTAGCTCTGCTCGCCCTATTGTTTTATTTGGGGATGAGGGAGAGGAAAGAGAATGCCGGCCGACTTCCCAGCCTCAACACAATGAAGACTCGGACGATGAAGGGGCATCGCCTCAGCAGGCAACTTTGAATCTGGACTGGTCCGCCATGAAGCTCTTCTCCCACAGTTCGTTTCTACAGAAATCTGTGGCGCTCAGCCAGCCGGAGCGAAAGAAGCGACCCTATGACAATACCAAGAGATCTGAGCAAGCTGAAAACAACATGAAGCATGTTGTTACATCCTTTAAGGATTCTGCCTTGCAACCTGGACGACTAGAAGCGCTTTGTAAACAGCAGCAGTGCAAATGCGCCTATCTTTAACAATAACGTAAGTTTTCATCCTATCATATCCTGCAATGTTGTTTTTCTGCTTATGATAAGAAGGCTTCCCAGCCTTTGACAGAATCCCATGTAAAGGCAGGCTTCCCAGCCCGAAATGTCATTTTGTTATTTTGTATTGGGGAGAAGGTGTTATTATATAGCGCTATGATGATGTATGTGTATCCAGTCACATTTCGTCATGCTTCCAACCAAGGTGCGTTGAAGACTTGCTTCAAGCAGCTTGACCTGACTGAATGCAGGCGCTTCCTTGAAACTTTCTGGAATATGGCAAAGTGTGAGCAAGACTCTTTTGTACCTTTGTTGCATGTGGTGCTCATTTACCTTTTGTACTCTTTTGTATTCGCTCATGTCTTTACATCTGAACCTGAATGTGGCATGACAGCTGAGTTGCACACGCTTGTGGGATGCCATGGGCAACTTGCTGGTGAGGGGAAGAAGAATCCTTCGTTCACTTTTCTGGGTCGACCCATTGGGCGCGTTTGCCTGTGCAGTGTCTTGGCAATGGGCATCAACAGATTTCGTCGAGCCTTGGAGATGAAACCAGACATGAGAATCGGCGCATCTCGCAAGGGCACGCGACATGCATCCTCACAATCTGTCAACGCCTTTTTGGGGATATTGTATGATGGGGTGGCGGAGACACTGCCAGACAGGTTGGGTTTGCCAAACATCTTTTTGTTAAACAACAACTCACGCTAAGGGAGCAAAACGGGTTTTCTCTCCCAATAACATCACCCCCGTTGAAGGTTCGTGCGAAGAGGCCGCTCCGCATCTGGAGATGATCCAGAACTGGATATTGAGGCATCAGAGGTTGACCCAGAGGACATCAAGGGATGGCTTGATCGCCCAGGTAAGGGGGTCCTATGGAATACGTTGCAGTCAGGAGACAAACCATTGACAA